TTTCGTCGTTACTGACATGACACACCAAGCGCGATTTTGCGTTATCTCCATGTTGCCATGTGTGGTAAATGTTACCGTTGGTATTTATCGGGTGGAACTTGTTTCACTTTTAGATTTAACACAGTAAAATATATCTATACTTTGCAATTAAATACCTTAGCAAATTATATATTAATATAATATCTCCCTTACATAAACAATATATTTTAGTTTCAATTTATATATTCTTTCATTATATACAACTAAAGGTATATATTTTGATATAATAATTTTTTTCTATGATAATTACATAACTATATTCAAAAATTTATTTTATAAAATATTAAAAGTAAGTGTTCTGGAAATCGAAATTGTCCTTCTCAGAAATTTCAGATTTCACTGGAATATTTCTTTTATGATAGAAACCTTAAGGAAATTTACTTCTCAAGAATTAGAAAACATAAATAAATAGAAGTACTACAGAAAAAATTTACGATTTTTCGTACCAAATACATTTCAATAGACATTCAATAATAGATGTTCAATAGGATTTACGGTCTTACGACGTTTGCAAAACGTTGTTGGAATTTAGAATTTGATCACTACAGGTTGCAGATTCAGGTGCGACTAGAATTATAGTCATGGAATATAAAAAACTACTAAACATGAATTGCTGAACTGCTTCGCTCTGATTGGTTACTTATTAATCTTCAACCATAACTTCAACTCAACCTATAACCCGTAGTTAAGGATGTCAGAATAAGGCTTCAGCTCACCGAAGATCAAATATAAAGGGAATTGCATACAAAGAAAAACATGTATGTGAATGCACATGTACGTGCTTCTTCTTTGTACGCAGTTAGTGGGCCAAGACTTTTGAGACTTTGACACCCTTATCCATGATGTGACTACGGTTTTATTGCTATTTTATTGATTTACATTATCCTGTGGTTCTATTTTAGAGAAGAGATGCAGTAAATCAAGAAATCTAAGGAGATATGCTTAAGAATGTATTACACCTACTTTTACATTTACAATAAAAAAATTATGAAAAATTTATAATTTTAAGTCGCATTTAAAAATAATAGAAAATAATGTAACGGCGGTTAAAACTTAGTTCAAAAATTATTTAAATAAATAAGTGAAGTGCTCTAATAAAAATGTAATTAAGAAATAATGATAATGATCTCAATTTTTTAATATAAGTATTTTAAATATTTTAAGTATTGAAAAATATTTATGTAAGGTTCTATTGTGATACAGAAATTAGTCATTCTATAAATAAAAATTTAATTTTATTTGTACCACCACTCGTTTGTCTTGTTAATAAAAAAAATAATTAATTTAATTTTTATTTACAGAATAACTAGTCTCTGCATGGCAATAAAACTTTACATAAATCATTTTGAATATTTAAAATACTTATACAAAAGAATTGAGATCTTTGTCATTATTTCTTAATTACATTTGTATTAAACATTCTACTTCATTTCTACTTCATATTTAAATAGTTTTTGGTCCAGATTCTAAACTATTGCCAAATTGTTTGTATTATTTTTAAATGTGATTTAGAATAATCTGTCAATTTTTTATAATATTTTTATTATAAATAAAAATAGGTAATATATATCCTTAATCAGTGTTTTAAGAACTTGACTATGAGATATTTTTAAATTTATGACTTATTATTTATTGTAATATTTGTCCAAGATATTTAACTTTTAATCTTAATATTTAATATTTATATGTAATCTCTTTGTTAAAAATTATGATATTTTACAATATTATATTGTATAAACCCAATTTTTTTCTATTAAATGTATATTTTAAAATGACATAAATATATGTTTCATGAAAGAAACGTGGAATATTCTAAAGGAAGAAATTTCATACAAATGATACGTCATGTCATGTACTGCTGCCTCGTTTCAATATACTACATCCTTTTCATGGTCACGTTTCACTTTTGTATAACCACTGTCATAACTAAAATTTTACTTTGCGGCTTGCATGATCCTGTTTTCTCGAAAGAGTATGCGATCTGATCACGATAATCTACGGATAGAAGTGTGCATCACGTACATGCATTTGTGCTCGTTGCGTGACTTGTCCTTTCTTTTTCTCTTTTTTTTATCTTCTCTCTCTCTCTCTC